AGGAATCCTATAATTGCAGCATCAAAAGATCTAATGAGAATTTTGTCCTAAAATTTGACAGCTCTGTTTTTAGCATGAGAAAACAAACAGTTTACAAAAGGTGCCTAATCAAGGGGAACATTGTTATTGTTAAGAAAGGGGGAATTATCTGTAATAAGGATCAGGATCTTCACTCTTAGGAGTGAAATGTGCAGGAAGGGGAAAGGAAAATATGGGAAAATTGAGTTTTGCCACAAAAACGGGGTGCAGGAAGTTTCAGGGCACTGGACGTGTGACAGCAATATCTGCAGGCCAAGTGATGTGAAAAACAGCAAAGGGAGAAAATTAAGTTGGTCTTGTTTGATGTGCTGACCCAATGCCACAGGTTCTACTATGACATAAAGTTATGAAATACAAAAATATAAAATAACATTAAACAGTGGGCAGAAATTGCACTGAAGGAATGAAATTGTGAGACCATGACTGAGGCAGAGGAAGCAAATTGGGAAATTATCCTGTCATGACTTTCCCCACAAGTTTTACCCAGGCCTAAACACTTCAGCATCCAGCTAAGTGAAAGCTGTCTGCAAGTTTCAAGTGTTTTCCAGGAACAGTGGGGCAGATCAATAATAAAAATGAAAGTAGAGATGTGCCAGTGGGCTCAGCAGTGTCTCAGGAATGGTAAATAATAGAAATGTTACTGCTTTAATCGTTTCTGCTTGAAAAAATCGATTTATGTCCATGGAATATGGTGCTAGAGAAGCAGGACTGATTGCTGGGCAATCAGTCACCACCTTCCCCTCTGCTTTAGAAGTTGTTACAGAAAAGGGCAAGGAAAGCAAGAGGGGAGCAAAACCCAACACCCCTGAGCCATGATTGACCTCAGATTCTCTTTGTCTGAATTCAAACTCCCATTAAAAGCCAATAAGAGGTTTTTTTCCAAGAAGATTAAAGAGGTAAAACTTCACCTGTAACATGAACTTTCAGACATGTCTCAGAGTTTGAAGGCTGTGTTTGAAACAGATGAGAGGCAAAAAGAAATCAAGTAGGAGAAAAAATTGAGAGCAAGACAGCAGCTCTGTGCATTTATTCAGTTCATCTGTTCAGTGTTTAACTCCCACCCAGATCAAACACCTCTGATAAAGAAAATGTTTTGGTTTTATCTCTGTTCCACAAACTCCTCCCTCCTCTTCTGCTGTGTCATGAATAAATCATGGAAGGAAATTCCTCTCGGTGACAACAAGGAGATCTCGTGGGAGGTTGGAGCTGGGTTTTAGGGTCCCTTCCAACCCAAATCCTTCCTTGATGATTTCATGATTCTGAATTCTGAGACAAGATTTGTGCAGCCTCCATCCTTGAAGGATTCCAAGAATATCCAAAAGGCATCTGGTCATGCTTAAATTTTTAGGTGACCACACCTGAGCATGGGTTTGGGGCCAGATGATCTCCAGAGGTCCCTTCCAAACTCAGCCATTCTGGGATGCCATGAAAACAGGAACTGAGCTCTTGCAAGGCAAAATGAGGTTATTATTAAAACAAATGAGAGTTAGTTGTGGCTCTTCCAATTTTTTTTTAATGGAAAACCTCACCTCATTGCTTTTAGGAACAGACATACCAGTTTGACAGTGGTAATATTGATTAAATTAAATACAAACCCCACAAAAAAACCCAGATTAATTCATGGCTTTAACTAATACCATGAGAATGAGGGGACTCTGTTCTCACCAGGGACTTGCCTCTTCTTTTTCCACAACACAGAGGAGAGCCTGGAGCACAAATCTGCTGGCACTGGGATGCTTCCCATCTCTCAGTGAATCTCCTCTGCTCTGCATTGCTAAATACATGTAATTATAAACCCCTGGTCTCCTTTCTCATTAAATCTCCAGGAGTACAGTTTGAAAATTTTAGCTCCAGTCTGATAGGAAGTGGGAACATTTGGGAAATCTAGTGAACTTTGAAAGGCTGGAGATAAATGATAAATTCCAAGTGCAGAAAGTTTGTGTTTTCTGATACTGTCATTTTCAATGTACTCCAGATTTCAAGGTACTCCATTGGTGCTCATTTTAGGGAGAACTTGTGTTACACAAATTACTGAGAAACAGCTCTGAAAAATGGCAAATACAACTTCTGGTGCTTTGAAAAATTTGCCTTTCCATTGACAAATAATTAGACTTTATGACCAAAGTCTGGAAAAAACAAGAGCCAGTGAGGCCACAAAAAATGTATCATTTTCATCAGGGATCTGTGGCAGAGCTGGGATTTGACATTGGAACATAAAAATCCGTGTGATACTTCAGTCTAACCTAAAAACCTCAGAGGAAAGCTTGTGGGGCACTTTCCAAAATTTATGCTCATTTTCAGTATAAAAATGGACATTTTAAATAGTAGTAATTAGAAATGTTATTTTGCCAGAGGAGAGACCTTATCCATTATTTTCAGGCAAATTGTGGTGTGATAAAATCTTTGTTTTCTAACCTTGTACTTTTTGTACCTCTCAGATGTCAGGTGCACATGAGAGGCTTTAGAAAGGTGTCTTGTATCACACCATGTGTGTGAATTTCCACACCTAAAAGTGACATGAGCTGCAAAGGGTAATAGAAAAAATTCTCTGGGAAGTTTCCCTAAATTCTTCCTCTGAGTTTCCCTAAAATCAGAGTAATTTTTTTTTTTTTTTTTTAATCCCACTGATGCTTTGTCATTGATTTTCCTTCTACCTTGGTTTCTACATCTGCTAAAGCATTGGGGCAAATTTTGAAAGTACTGAGAGAGGTGAGTTTTTAAATAATCATGAAATTGTGAGGAAGAGCAATTGAAAAGAAGAAATAGGAGAAAAATAAGCTGAAAGGAACACACTTCAGCTCACTGAGAATAAGAAACAAAGATCTAAAACCACCATGAAATCTTAAGCCATCCCCAAACAGAGTTTTGAGCAGGAAATGGGAAGCAGTGAAGTTCAGATAATGGGATCCATTGTAACAAAGAAGAAATAACAGAAATTGCATAACCCAAAAAAGCTGAAAGCACCGAACAGTCGTGTCCTTGATTTGTTTGCACAAGATCCTTTATGATCCTGATATGAACCCTGGTGGAAGGAACTGCAAACAGTGGCCATGCAGGGAAAGCCTGGGCCAGCAGCTGGGAAAATGAAGAAAAGCACCTTTGAGAGCCCTCCCTGTGGGATTCACAGTCTCTGAACCTGAGAGAAGCAGAGGAAAGAATGGTCAAAACCAAATCTTATCTCATTTTCTGCCCCTCTGTTTTGGAACATGTGGAATGTGTTGGGAGATTATTTACCTGAAGGAATTTGCTTGATTGGATTCTGGTGTGAGTGTTTTGTTTTCTTGACCAATCTCTGCAAACTGTGTCCTGATGGTTGGTCAGGAGATTTGGTTGAGTGCTTGTGCATTTTCAGTTTAGATATAGGATAGAAGAATAGTATAATGAAGTAATTAATTAGCCTTCTGGTATCAACAGAGTCCTCCTCATCATTTTTCCCTGCATTGGGGGCCCTGCTTTTACAATACCTCCCAGATTCAGATCTGCTGCAAAGACAGATTAGAGGGACAAGTTTAATATCAAAATCCATCTGTCACAGGGATTGGAGAAGTGACTTCAGGCAGGGGATTGTTCTCAGTGCAGAACAGGCCCATGGCTGGGAAGATGCTCAGATGAGTCAAGTGTCAGAAATTGCTGGAGGTGATACTCAAATATTTTTGTGACTCACAGCTGCATAATTGATTTGGTCCTATTTGCAGTTTTCTTACTCTTGTGTGCAAAGAGCTCAATCGTTGGAAATGTTTGCAAAGCACTTTGAGCTTCCTTGGTGTCGTTTTTCACCTTAAGAAGCAAAGTTTCACTTCTGTTTGTTCATTCTGGTGTATTGACCAGTTTTCCAGTTTTGTGAGGTGAATGGCACCAGTGGAATGCCCCAGAAATGGGATTTTAGTGAGGTGGGCAGGGTGGGCACTGGTGGTCAGGGAAGGTGCTGGGGGAATTTATAATGTGCTGTTGGGTGCATTTCTGCTCTGTTATTTTTGACAAACCCATATCTTGGCCTTTTAGCCCACAAACCTCTTGGGGTAAGGCTTATCCTGAGTGCTGGTCTCTGCTTTTACTGGATTAAGCTGCTGTGGGTTTGAGGTCCAGCTGGGACAGCAGAGATGTTTTACAAAGTAAGAAGCGCTTTGCTCTTACAATCCTGGATGGATCAGGCAGATCTGAGTACCAAAGAGCCATGTGAACTTCAGTTTTGACAGTTTGGCTGAAGGAGTGAGATGTTCTTGTGTTAATTAAAGCTCTTTTTAGCTGGTCAGAGGCCCCAGGCACTCAGCAAGCTTGACAGTCCAGGAAATCTTCCTGCCCTGGAGTATGCAAGTTGAAACAGGCAAGAGAGTTTGTCAGTGTATGTGGATTTTCTCCCTTCGCAGCTAAATTTTGAAGTGTTTTGTTCACAGACCAGAGTGCAGTACATTTTCCAGGAATCACATTTGCTCAGGGCTCAGCTGTAGGCAAGGTCTGGGTGTGGAGGACTGGATTTGGTTCCCAGACCCCCAGCCTTATCTGCATGGTGTGAAATGAGCCCTTTATCTATCCCTGTCCTGGCTTCTCACAAGCACAGTGAAAGGCATAAATACTTCACTGCTTTGTTTAGATAAAAATTTTCCAGGAACAAAGTCAATGTGACAATAAAACATTCAAACAATACTGGTGCAGTGCCAGGAACCAAAGGTCTGGGTACAACTGGCAGCATGGTACCACTTGAAGGGATGTTTTGTGTGCACCTCTGTATTAAAATCTACTTTTTTACTGAGGTCTGGACTTTAAAACAGAATAGATGACTCCCATTTATGAGCTCTGTGTAATATGAAAAATTAATAACAGGGAAAAAGTATGAGAAGTTTTCTCTAAGTATTACAAGAATTGTGTTTTGGCATTTATACCACAAGAGGTAGAAGTTGTTTTTACAGTGAGCTGAAGGTTTCTTTTAAATCATGGGGTTTTTTTTCTTTCTTTTCTTCCAGGGAATGTGACCAGGAATTGTACAAGCCAGGGCTGGTCAGATGTGTACCCTGCACCCTACGCTGTAGCCTGTGGATATGATTCCAACAGCACTCCAGGGGAAGAGGTTGGTAAACCTGGGTGGGTGGACATTGAGATTTAACAGGGATCAAAATCCAAATTGTATGATCTTCCCATGCCCAACTTCTCCCATTCCCCCTCTGATTCCTCAAAAGGGAAGGATCCTCTTGAGGATCCTTGGAAGCAGAGTTCAAATGTTTGGTCAAGGAAATTATCTTCCCTTTAATGTCATAGACTCGTGGAATTATGGAATGGCTTGGGATGGTGGTTCCAGTTGTGGGTTTCTCTGGGTCTGCATTGAAGGCACTTGAGACAGTAGTTCATGTTTGCACTCAGGTGTTTATTATTCCTTATCAGTAAAACAGAACTGAGAGTTCAGCAGCTTTTCATTAGAAGGCACAAAATGGCCACAATCTCTTGTTCCAAGGCCTTTTCAGACTAAACTATCCAATTAAGAGCTGACACCTGGATTATTTTCCCTTTGAACCCAATCACTGATCCCACAGAGCTGCAATGGGGACTTTTCTGCCCAATTCCAAAATGCCACCCAAACCCATGGAGAAGGAGGAAGAGGAAGCATGAAGACGAGACCCAGGATGACACCCTGTGCCCTCCATCTGCTTCCATCCACAACACACTAAAAACCCCAAAACCTCAATTTCTCACCCAGTGACACACCTGCACTGCTCTCTATAATCTATTTCACACTTTTGTGGGTTCCAGTCTATCTTGAAGTCTGGGGAACTTTCTCCATGGATGAGGGTCAGAGTCAGTGCTGCCCTGGGGGTCAGGGCACCCCAGAGCAGACACAGAAACATTCCCAGTGCCCTGGGTTTCCACAGCTTGGGATGGAGAGGAACTTCAGGATCATCTCATTCCACCCCCTGCTGTGGGCAGAGACACCTCCAGAACAGCAGACCCCAGGCTGTTCCAAACCTGGCCTTGAACACTCCCAGGGATGGGACATCCAAAATTTCCAGGATGTCAAGACCTGAGAAGATCAGACCATTGTCTATGGGATGCCCACACATAACTTCAGGTGTTTCATTTTCCACAGTGCACTTTGAAACAAGCCCTCCACATTTATATTTATGCTTAAGTAGATATTGTGATTCCAGTCTTTCTATGGCAACATAAGCATCAAAAACTCTAAAGGGATAAAAATTATTTTTTGCTGCCCTGCACATCTCAACCAGCTAAATATCCACATCACTGTAGGGAACACATATTTTCATGAAATTATACTAAATTTTGATAGAAAATCCAAAAGTTCTCTGGGATATTGTTTGTGTATAAATTAGAAATCACTGACTGGGGTATAATTAGCTTTGCTGAGTATTGTCATTGAACAGGAAGGAGTTTGTTACTGGTTTGCTGCATGCTGAGACATGAAGGGTAAAGTCTAAAGAGGATAACAAATGTTAGAAGTAAGATTCACCTCACCTAACTCAAAGTTCAGCATCTAATCTAAACTAATCACCTGAAGCAGTCCCACAGTCAACAAGAAAAAGCTTATGCATGGAAAGTTATACTTCACTGCAATCACATGTTGCAGTATTTATGTTTTTATATAATAGGTTAATGTGTTTATATTAAACCTCTGCTCGTGCTTTTTTTTTTTGTTGTTGTTGTTTAAAACATACCTCAGTGTTAGTGTTAGTGTATGTTGGACATAGGAATCTCAATAATTAATTAATATGCGTTTCTGGTATTTAAAGGGGGCTTACAAAAAGGCTGGAGAGGGATTTTTCACAAGAGCACGGAGTGATGGGACAAGGGGGAATGGTGTTAAGCTGAAGGAGGGCAGGTTAAGATGAGAAATTGGGAAGAAATTCCTCACTGAGAGGATGGTGAGGCCCCAGCACAGGTTGCCCAGAGAAGCTGTGACTGTCCCATCCTGGGAAGTGCCCAAGGCCAGGTTGGAGAGGGCTTGGAGCAGCCTGGGATAGTAGTGGAAGGTATTCCTGCCCAGGACAGGGCTGGAATGGGATGAGCTTTAAGGTCCTTTCTGACCCAATCCATTCTGGGATTCTGTGACTCAGTATGGTGAGAGGTCTCTGCACTGTCCCACATTACCAAGGCACTCCAAGAGTTAACAGGGGATCTGAGCAGAACTGAGTGGGAAAGAAACAGCAAAGAGCAAAGGCAGAGGTGCACAAAGAACTTGAGGGTTGTGCTGAATAGAGCCTCAGTCTGCCTGCAGGTTCAGCCATCACTTCACATCCTCAAGTGCCCTTCCCTCAGACTGAGCTGTGTGCCTGCAGAAACCACTGCTCCAGCTCTGCTGTGCAAGGACCCCCACCCAGAGCTCTGCTGGTGTCCTGTGGGAACCCAGGGAATCCCTCTGGCTGCCCTGGAGGACTCGAGCCCCTGCCCAGGGGGCTCAGAGACCTTGGCACAAAGCCCAAGACCCCTGTGCCCTTGATTGAGCCCTTGGAAAAACAATTACCAACCTTGTATGAAGGATTACAAGCCATGACAGTTTAAGTAGAATGATAGTGAATTTATCACAGGGTGAAGAAATAGATTTTTTGGGGGTTTTTAGAATGGGGGTTCGGGGGGCAAGATGGAGGAATCTGGGTGTGTCCAGCCTTTCTCCTTCTTTTTCTTGGCCTCCATCTTCTGCTGTGATGTTGGCACTTTTGAATTGGTTTGTGTTACAGTGCTCACAGGGGTCTCAGGCTGAGGGAAGAGATGAGGATCTGACTCTATGTTTCAGAAGGCTGATTTATTATTTTATGATATATATTACATTAAAACTATACTAAAAGAATAGAAGAAAAGATTTCTTCAGAAGGCTGGCTAAGAATAGAATAGGGAAGAATCATAACAAAGGTTTGTGGCTCAGTCTCTCTGTCTAAGCCAGCTGGGCTGTGATTGGCCATTAATTAGAAACATCCAACATGGGCCAATCCCAGATGCACCTGTTGCATTCCACAGCAGCAGATAACCATTGTTTGCATTTTGTTCCTGAGGCCTCTCAGCTTCTCAGGAGGAAAAATCCTAAGGAAAGGATTTTTCATAAAAGATGTCTGCAACAGTTTAGAGTAGAAGCTCAGTGTCTAACATAGGTGATAGGTATTGAGAAGTAACTGTAAATATTGTACACGTAGTTTTTAATATAAAAAGATAACATCACCTCTGAGGTAGTCAGAGTGCCTCTGTCTGTCCTGCTGAGAGGACCTCAGCTGGACAGGAGAAAGAATTTTATAGATAAGAAACAATAAACAACCTTGAGACCGAGAACTGAAGAGCTCTGACTCCTTCTTTGACTTCTGGGCTGGGAAAAGAGACTTTCTAACACATCTCAGGGTCACTGTGAGCAGCTAGAGACCACAAGAGTGTTCCTGCTGCACAGGGGATTTGGGAATTCCTGGGACATGCTCCTGCCACCCTACAGCCTGCAGCATTGCCAGAGTGCTGTGTTACCAGGAGAACCTCTATTGTGTTCTTTTAATTCTTTCTTAATTATTTTCCCTTGATTTCCACGGTTTTTTTCCTTGCTTTTTTTTCTTCCAATTTGTGTGAAAGGTGGCTGAGGAGGGGCAAACATGCAGTAGCAGCCTGTGAAGAAGAATAGATTTTTGTTTTCTTGTTCTTGAATTGGCAGTGAGTTTGGGGAGCAAGAAGTGAAGAGAGGAGAACAAAACCAGCAGGCTGTACAGGACATGAGGTCCAGGCAAGACTGATAAGCTTCCAGGAGTTAAAAACTTCATGAACTTTTGGTCTCAGGTCAGAAACAGCAAGAAAAAAAAATATGAAAAGTAAATAAGGGCAGTGTGTGAGGTTTTAGCTGTGAATTCTGGCAGTCCCTAAAGCAGCAGATGATGGAGGCACCAAAATGCTGCTCTTGGGGTCCATGCAGGGATGATGAGCCCTTCTCCAAGCTGACCTTTAAAAATGGTGCATTAGGAAATGGGGAGTGGGGCTGTTATCCTGCTCCTCTGCCAGATGTGATGCTCTTCTCCCTGCTGTGTTTCCATCTGCTCAGAAGGGCCACCCCAGGGTTATTGGGGTTTTGTTTTGTTTTTTGCTTTGGTCAGGGTCGGGGTTAAATGTGTAGGGATGGTATTTTGGATTCAGATGTTTATTAGTTCTTGGTTATATTGTAGTATTATAAGTTTTGAGTTTTACAGTATTTCACTAATAAGTTACAAAACAGCTTTGTATTTATCTCTGTAAGGTCTTTTAAGGAAAAACTATCTAATTAAGAAATTAAATTATCTTTATTTTTAACTTAATAACTACTTGTGTTCCTCAATGTGGATTTTTCTATCTAATTATAAAATACTACTTAAACTCATGAAGAAGAAATTGAAGATGAAGGATTAGCTACTGCTTTAAAACTTCTATCTTGCCTTATATATATTACTATATTCTAAAACTTTAAACTCTAAGTTTTCCCCTATGTGATGTCACACACTTCTATTTAAACCACACATTCATAATCTTTGTGTTATTAATCAATTTTGGAAGCTTCTTCTATAGCTTCAGGTCAAATGCATTGTTCTCTTGAGGATCTGTGCCTTTCAACACAGAAAGTCTGAAATTCTCAGTATCCAGGGTTCCAACACCAAGTCTCTGTAGGTTTTGCCTGAAAATGGCAAAATAAAGAAACACCTCCAGAGGTCAGTTCAGCCCACATTTCTCTCCAAAGAAATTTCTTTTCATTTACTCTCAAGAGAACCCCAATGACTTTGGGCTGGATGACATGAACCCCAAAACACTTGGCTCCTGAAAGACTTCATATCAGTATTTCTCTTTTTTTTCTCCCAAAATTGTAAATGTTTCCCATTGTCAACCAAGGGACAAATGTTGAAGTTACTGAATAGAAACCAAGGAAAATAAATCTCAGTTAATCTCAATTTAGCACCTACCTCAAATAATTGTTATTATCATACTCCTGTTAAATTAAGCAGAAGCTTTTAGAAGTCAAAGAGACAATGATGAATTTGCCTGATTTCATTCTGTAAAACAGTCAGCCATCCTGGCATGCATTGCCTCCACTTATCTACATCCCTTTCTTTTCTACTAAGAATATTTTATAATCTGGACCCTGAGTGAAATTTCAACTCCATTTATGATCTTGGGTCAAATTCTCTGCTTTGATATCTCTGGAATAGGAACCAACTGTCATTAGCAAGTGCAGTGAAGAGTGAGAAGCCATTATGTGCAGTTTCCAGAGCAGAGATGACCCCACATCCTGCATTAAAGCTGCATGCAGAACCATCCCTCTCTGCACAAGAAGGATTCATCACTATAAAATATGGAGTGGAGGGCAGGGATTTGCTTGTTGAATCACACCAGGAACTTTCTGTGCATAACTTGCTCCTGGGAATGACTCTAAGAGGCAGAAGGGCTACTTTGCTAAATGAAGTGTGGGACAACCTCTTCCTCCTGCAGTCCCCTACCATGAGCTCCTTCCTTCTGCTGGCCAAGTCTTTCCTGGCACAGTTCTGCTCTGGTGCCATCAAAAATAGAGATAATAGAGAAAGATTAAACATGAGGGAGGTGGACTGCTTTAATTAGAAAAGTCAGAGCTGCCTTTGGGATCTTTGGAAAGAAGATTTTATCTTGTAGGTGCTGGTGGATGAGAGGCTGGACATGTGCTGACCATGTGCACCTGTAGCCCAGAAATCCAATTGTGTCCTGGGCTGATCCCACAGCCTGGGCAGCAGGGAAAGGGGAGATTCTACCCCTCTGCCCCCCTCAGGTGAGGCCCCACCTGCACAGCTTTATCTGGGCAAGACCAGGCAGATAAATTGTCCTGAAAGCCTCGAATTATCTATTCAGAGTGACCCAAAGCTCTCCATGATGTGGCTGGAAGGACACAGTGGTTCAACCACCTCTGAGATCTGTGGTCAAAGACAGGACCAGTGTTATCTCTCAGAAATCTCTTGTTTGTTTTAACACCTCTCCAAGCTGGCTTGTGCAAATGCTAAAGGATTGCAACTCATCCCAGCCTCGCTGCTTCTGTAAAGTACCCAATACTTGTCAAAGCCAGGGAAAATAGCACATAAAAATGTCAACTCTCAATGTTATGGAAGAGTATTTCTCCAAACAAGGTTGGGTTTAGATTTTCTGCCTAACCTGCTCTTTGTGGTTTTGGTTGTTTGGGTTGTTTATAGAAGATGGTGACAAGGAGGGCAGAGGAGGGTCAATCAAGAGCTGGAAAAAATAAAATTTTCCATAAACTGAGTTAGATTTTCATAAAAACTTTGAATATTTTTTTTAATTGATAAATGTCTAAATAATTTTACCTCTTGATTTTTTTTTTCTTTTTTTTAAAGCTGGAAATCAAAAACTATTGATTTAGAGTGTTGTTAGAGAGCTTGGGAGAGCTTATTTGCCCATTTTATTTAGACTGGGATTCCCTGTTGGATCCAAGCTCAAAGATTCCCTCTGTGTACTGTTAAAGAGAAAAACCAGGAACCAATTCCCAACTTACCACACATTTCTGAGTTAACAGTGAGAACGTTTTACTTGCCTAAACAACAGTGTAAATCCCACAAAAGCAAACCAATTTCCCAGACAGTTCTGCCCTCAGACCTCCTTAATAAAATTAATCTCACCACTCCCACTGCATCAGACCCAGTGTCATGCACTCTTTAGCTGAACCTTGATCACTCCTGTTCCACGAGGTTTTAGACTGGAGCAGGTGTCAAATCTGCCTCCTTCCAGCAGGAACCTTTCCCTTTTGTAACTTTAACCCAGGTTTGGAGTGGTCCAAGCCCTGCTGCAACCACATGAATTCTCCACGCTCACACCGGCGGTGTTTGAGTCACATTCATTACTGGATGGGATTTTAAAGGGTGAAGGAGTCAGAGGTGTTCTAAGAGAATGGAGCAGGATGATTTCCTTGTCCCAGACGTCCGTGATGCTGTGTTTAGGATTTTCCTGGACCTCTTTGAAAGCTGTTTTCTTTCTTTCACACCAGCAAACGGCGTTCTACGGAACGGTCAAGACCGGCTACACCATCGGACACACCCTGTCCCTCATCGCCCTCACAGCTGCCATGATCATCCTGTGTCTCTTCAGGTAAGGCCACCAGCAGAAAAAAAATCAGGGAAAGGGCTCAAAGGCTGGTGATTTACAGGCTGTGTGGACAAAGGACACAAAATAAGGCTGTGTCACTGTAGGACATGAAATAAAACGACTCGCACGCTGGAACCTCCAAGGTAAAAAGAAGGGAAGTTTAATTTCTGGCTCCAGCATTTATAGACTTGCAAAAGTGACAGTGGATTGGAAGAGGAAAGTGCCACCTCTCCAATGACACTGGGCAAACCAACAGTCCATCAAATTCCTCCTCCTCCAGAAAAGAATGCAAAACAGTAATTATTTACAGAAAAGTGTGTGAGAATCTTCATTACAAGAATGTAAACATCAGAAGGCTTAGAAGAACTTAGAAGAACAGGGTGACAGCTGTGCAGGTTTTAAGTGTTACAGGAAGGTGCCCAAGATTTCTGTCAATCTGTCTTGGATAGGGGAGGAAGATTCCTCCATCTTTCAGTGTCACTGTGTTTTGGTGTGTGATTTGTGACGTTCCTGTGGGAGTTGTAACCCAAATGCAGTTATTCGGGTGGATTCATCTCACCAAAGGCAGATTGTTCTATGATGGATCTCTTTTAGAGGGTTACAGTCCATGGAGTCCTATATATGGATACCAAGGAATTTCTACCTTAAGTAGGTATTCACACTGGTATCCAAAATTGCATCCAAAAATATCCAGGATCACAAAATCCCAGAATGGTTTGGGGTGGGAGCAACCTTAATGATCATCTCATTCCATCCTCTGGGCAGGGACACCTTCCACTATCCCAGGTTGCTCCAAGCTCCATCCAGCCTGACCTTGGACACTTCCAGGGATGGAGCATCCACAGTTTCTCTGGGCAGCCCGTTTCCTCCCAAAGTCTTTTCCAAAAACCCTTCCTGCTGTCACTCTATGGCAAGACAGAGACACCCAGGGCCATTTTGACTTGCTGGTGTCCCTGAGATGTGCACAAGTGTGGCAGATAGGATGCAGGGCCTGCAGGAGACCCAGGGGCTCATGGATGGATGGATGGATGGGCACATAGTCTGGAGCTCACCAAGTGGTGTTGGAATCCCAGACTGCAACAAATGGATTCATTCTTGCTCTCTATTTTTTGCAGTAGATTCAGGTATCTAAATTTGGTTGCCTCCAATGAAGATGTCTGCATATATGCCATCTCCTATTATAAATTAATTTATGTAAAGAGAGATCAGCTAAAAGCTGGGCTGGAAGAACCCTTTGGATGAGGCTCCATCTCCTCATTTAAGACAGGGCACATTTTCTAGGGTATTTTACACCAAGGCTGGTGTCACCCTTCAGGAACTTATCACTTCTCTTCCCAAGTGCTCTCTCCACTCCCCTTACAATGGAGGAGTCAATCAGACACATGCCAACAACCTCCACAAGGCACAAAGAGCCAGCCAGGCCGGTGAAACCATTGAGGATCCTGTTTTTCCTTGGTGGGAAACAGCTTGGCTTGACTTGCCTTGGCCTGCAGGCACAGAGGACTCAGCTCAGCCCCATTATTTTGCCATCATCAGAGATTAGCAGCACAACCTCTGCCACTGCCCACTGGCTCATTAAGAGGTGCTAATTTCATTGTGCTGCTGAGTGAGGTCTGCTGTGGTTCTGGTGTCTGTACAAAGTACCCATTTCCAGACAATCAGGCCTTTCACTTTAGCTGGTGTAAATTCTCTTTTGAAAAAAAAAATCCCACTTGATCAGAATTTGTCTTCAAAATATTAGCAGGCAAGGGATAGAAAAACTCTGGTGTAGTTCTCAGTATCGTTAACAACCAGTAATTTTTAAGTGAAAATATAGTTATATTATTCCAGAAAGTCTGTAATATGTGTTAATTCTGGGAACAGATGCTAAGAATTTATTTGCCTGCTTGAAAAGACATTTCACTTTGAAAAGAATTATTGCAGCAGAAACATTCTGTAGAAAAAAAGCCCTTTAATATGAGCACAGTCTGCTCAGTCAAAAACATTTATTTTCCAGTGGAGAGCAGTGGGATGGACCTGTTTTCTGTCATCCTGTATTTTTTCCTGTTTTTCTGAGGATTGAAAAAGCAGCAGTACTGCTGCAGATACATGGATTGCCACATTCTGTGGAATTAAAGAGGCTTAAGTGGATTTGTGGTGATGTTCATCAGACCAGAGCCTGTCTCAGGGTTTCTAATGTTTAATTGGGACTCTATGTCATAGTAGAAGAAATGTGTAAATATAAAAAGAATGCTTTTGAGAAGATTTGCTATTCAGAAATGTTTCATTTCTTCCCAACAGAAAACTACACTGTACTCGAAATTACATTCACATGCACCTCTTCATGTCCTTCATCATGAGAGCCATCGCAGTCTTCATCAAGGATGTCATCCTGTTTGAAAGTGGGGAGTCTGAGCACTGCTTTGTGAGTTCAGTAAGTAGCCTTGCACTCAAAATTTCCACCCCATTTTGTTGCCCCTCTCAAGCAATGCACCTTGCAAATGCATGTGAGGTGGAACTTTGGGAAGATTTCAAATCCTCTTCTCATTTGAAAGGAGAAAGAAATCCATGATTGCTGCCATTTGACTTATATGGAGAAGGAATCAATTGATTATCCGAGTCCAAAATGTATATATTTATATTTTATGTCTGGTCCTTTCTGAAGCTGGACTTGATGGTCCTAGAGGTGTTTTTGAACCTTAAGGATTTCATCAGATCAAACCCACAATGAGGTTACACAGGATTTTGGGGCTCCTGTCAGTCCTGTGTCCATCTCCCTGCCACATGCTAATTTCTTGAATATCCTGGTCAAAGGAGGTTTGTGTTTAGGGACTCAATAAAACCTTTTCCTTCCATGAGGATGGGAGTCAGATCCAAATTCACATAACTAATGTTAGTTATCTATGGGATAAGTACTTCCACATGAGCTGTGTGTGTTATGTGCACCCACAGACAGTGGGCTCTAATTAATCTGTTCCCTGGAGGCTGGAATGCTGTTCAGTCCTTTGGGAAAAGGCCCCTGCCTGTGGGTGATTCTCTGGGCTCCAGTGACCAGATCTCTGCAGGATTTCAGGCAGGAAATCTCTGTGCAGACACCATCATCATCATCATCCATTTTTCATCTGAATCAGTATCCCACGCTCACTGTCTGCAACTGTGAGATTTCCCTACTGGGATGATAAATAAGGGGAATAAAGGAGTTGAGTTATTTTTTTGCCTTTCAAAGTCAGTGTTATCAGCTGGAGCAAACATTAAGGAGGGAGAAGGGCTGTTTATCTAAAGGCCACGCTGACGTAAGAGGACACCAGTCATGAATAAATTTAGGCAGGAAATGGAAATCACCAAAATGAAGAGATGTGATCAGAAGTTATCCAGGGGAATAAAAAAAAACAAAAAAACAAAAAAACCCAGGAACCCTCCATAGTAAATTCAGAGCATTGGATGAGCTGCTTGCTGATACCTCTGGACCTGTTTCTCATGTCATACACCACCAGAAAAAAATATTCTCTTTTCTTCTCCATCCACCCAATTTCTTCCTTGCTTTCTGGCTTTCCTGTATCCTCACCCTGAGTCCTGTCCCTGCTGTTACAATGACCTTTCTGCTTGAGCATGTCTGAGTTGAAACTCAGAGCAGCCTCCTCTCAGCTTTTCCCGAGAACTGTGTGCAGCATGATTCCTTTCCCTGCGTGCTCCCTCCTCCCTGTGATCCTCTCTGGATTCTTGGAATGGGATTTTCTTCTGAAGGTCCATGAATGGGTAGAAAGACATGGAAACTGGAATCAATTGCCACAGATTAATTGTCAATGCCAATTGGCAGAGCAGCCAAGCCAGGAGAGGCCACAGAATGGGAACCCACCTCTCATCCCTGTGGGAGTTTGCACTGGATTCTGCTGGATCCAGTGTTTGCTTCTCATCCATGCAGAAACATTTCTGGGTGTAAATACAGAATTTTCCTGCAGAATCCAGAATACCTGAACTTTCAGGTAGCCCCCATGGCTACAACATTTTTATGTTTCTCCCCATCAGAAGATTTTTGAGTTAATTGCCAGCTCAGGGTGAATGGCTGGATGATGCATAATGATTATAAAATTATGTGGAACAAATCTGTCACCACCAGATTAGGCTGAGCATATCCCTTGCAGTCTAGAACCAGCATTTTGGACAATTTTTTTAGGTCACAGTCTAAAAACACTGACACAAAATGCCTCTCCTAACATTAATCAGTTAGGAGAAATTGTTATAAAATCCATTGTGTTCCTGTGGGGTTGGTTGGGTTAGCTTGAGCTAAGTTTGTGCTTTGAACTTGCAGGATAAAGCTGGACTTGGCAGTCCTGGTGCTAATTCATATGGTCAGGATTTTATACACAATTCACTGAAGGCTGTGTGTGTAATGGATGTGGCCTTGAGCTCCTTCAGTCTGGGGAGAGATTTCAACAAACAATTTGCTGAATGCTCTCACTGCTACTCTGGTTTAGAACAAGGCAAACCCAAAGCAACAAAGGTGTTTCATTGGAAGAGAAACACCACACTCAGTTCCTTTAGGGAATGAAAGGGTAAAGACAGAACAGATTTAGGGCTATAAAATCCAAATGAATAGAAACCTCTGCCAGCATTTCTGATGTAGGCACCAAAGTCCTCAATTTGATATTACCTGCTGCAGTAAGAAGACTTTAAATTATGTTTTGTGCTCCAGCCACACAAAAATACATTAACCAACAAATGTGTCAGTGCTTCAATCAAGTAGGAACTCCAACACAGGAAGACATATATGTAATTAAAAAACATTTTTAGTAGGCTTTTCTGCATTTTTCTTCATTTTACCTAGCTTAGGACACTTCAGGTGTGGTTTTAACTCTCCACCACTTTAAACTCAAAGAGAATTGGATTGCTATTGTGTTCAACACGAACAAACACCCCAAAAAATTAATTTGTTGAGCATTTCCATGGGCCACAGTGCCTGAGAATGTGGCTGTAAGCATTTCAGGGCCAGTGCAGCCAAATTATAAAATATATGTGATGAGCATCACTGAGTGATGGTGTGAGCCAGCAGTGGGTGATGTTTGCAGAGTGATGTGTAGCCCTTGGTCCTGCTTTATGGATAAACTCTCTCCTGGGGGAAAGAAAAGTCTTGCTGCTTGGGTGAAAAAATCAACCTGTTTTCACTGGGCAGAAATCCTGAGCTGACAAGCAGGGCTTGTTTTTATGACTAAAGGGAGCAGGTTTAAATGACCTTTAAACCCAGAACCTGCACAAGGCCCCTTGTCCCATACCAAGGAAACTCAGCACTGGTGGCTTTGTAAATGTCCCTCACTCCTTCTCCTCCTCCCAGGTGTCCCAGCCTGTTAGATTTGTGCCTAGGCACAGTGAATGGAGGAATGAATACAGCCTCAAAGCCTGAAGAAGGAGCATCTTTATGAGACACAACCCTACAGAATAAAAGCAGAGAATTGGCCTCATTTCCTCGTATTCCAAGAGTCAGCTCAAATAATAATACAAAAGATCCTTCAAGACACATTCCAAATTCTACCAATTAAGCAGAAATCAGAAAAAAAGCATGAAAGGAAGGAGATTTTGACATGACATCAACACAAATAATAGACATACCAATAAAATATGGCAAACAAAATACAAATCCCAAATATGTACCACTGACACACGACATAATTAAAGGCTTGAGAGAAACAATTAAAGAGAGCAGCTTAAGCTCTCCTATTAAAAAACACTTTTTATTATTATTATATTAATAATATTATATATTAATATAGAATTATAAAATTCTATATTAATAATTATAATTATATAATATAATTATATTATATAATTATATAATTATATTATATAATTATATAACTATAGAATATTTAATATATAAATTATATTATATTATTACATATATTTAATTATATATATATAATATATATAATTATATATTATATATATTTATCTATATTATATATAATTATATATATATATTATATATTTATATATATTATAAATTTTATATAAATATATAATTATATAATATAATTATATAATATTTTATATTATTATGATCTAGTACCTTATGACTGAAAATATATTACCACCACAATCTTAACAGATTCACAATATATACTATAAGGAGTCAAATAAAGAACTCTCACCAAATAAACAGAGACTTGTGCTAAAGCTCATGGGGAATCCTTAGACTGACCTCTTCCAAAACTGGATTTTTGTGGGATTTTCCAGTAAGAAACAAAACTCTGCAGGGAATTTTCTAGAGGGGTGTGATGGCCATGCACAGACACCATGTTCTGCTCAAGGTACCATGAGGAGACCATACCCACCTCCTCCCTCTCTCTCACAAAGTACTTATGTAGCTTTTTAATTATAATTATGTGTAACTGAATCTTCCTATTGGCTTAAATGGATTAAAGCAGGCATCTGCTCGAGTGTGTTTGTCAGCTGGGGCTTTAAGCACTTGGATGTGGAGATGATGAGGCCCAGAGGGCTCTGTGGAACCACCCACCCTGAGTTCTTCAATAATTCTTCAATTCAGCTTCCTCAATATTGCTTTTGTCTCACTCAGGTTATGTTCTGTCTCACTAATTGGTCATTTCTGATGGAAAACTCACCACACGTGGCTTTTTTACATCTGCAGATTGTTCATTGTGTGTAAAAAATTTTTAAAGTCTGGATTTGCCTTTATTTTTTTCTGGTTTGGTTTTTTGTGTTTTTGTTTTGTTTGTTTTGGTTTGGTTTTTGGTTATTTTTTTTTCCCTGCCAGACTCAAGAGACCTCCTTAGAAGTTTTAGTTTTTATCCCTGATTTCCTTAGGTTTAGTGCTCTTCCCTCTTGGCATTCCCACCATTTCTCTTCCCTTTTCCTTCTCTCCCTGGGATGCACCCTGCAGAAAACAACAGTCAAAACAACAAATGTGGCAGAAGGATTGAACTGAACACTTCAATCGTTGTTTTATATAATTTTTGTGGGTTTAGGGATAGGTTGTGATATAGTTTCATTACTGTCATATCTGGATGGCATAATAATGATGAACCACTTACATTTCCAGCCCTGCTGAAGACAAAGCCAACAGTTTGCTGGAAACAAAGATCAGATTCTACAGATTAAATTCAGGCTGGCGTTTTTTTCTGAGCTCTGCAAGTTTCCCCTTGCTGGAGATTCAGCCAAGGGAGATCACATAATTTCTCTTTTCCCTTTTGTATTATTCCAGTAAAACAAAAAAATAATCCAAAGCAAAAATTATTCCTTGCAAAGGAGAGTGGGAGTTCAGCAGTTGAGAATTTGCATGCATATCTCATCTTTTCAGAGTGAAAAATTGGTGTTTTTTTATTTTAATTCCCTCAGGACAAACTGATAACAGCTACAGGCCCCTAAATGAATTTTATTTATGGAAGTTGAAGACAGATACGTTTTCATTTCCAGCAGTGAGGC